AGACAGAACTATTTAGATCAAGGGTCAGATGCACTATTCCCTAAATAATTAAAATGTGGAATATATAGGCCTATACCACCATAACGAATTTCTCATATTTGTCATAACATCATTATATTCTATGGGTTTAATGAATTTGCACACAATGTATTTATCTGTAACTGTCATATAACTGTAAATCCAGTCTTAGAGGAGAATGCCATTGAATGTGTAGCTAATATGAAGTGTTTTCATGAAGAAAAAAAATCGAACTAAAATCAGAACTGAAAACAAACTCTGGATGAAAAAAACTCCCAATAAATGTCCAAACAGCGATTCTATCACATCAGTTATTGTGTTATAGAGAGGTTTGACCAACTAGTGATGTCCGGTTCGCGAACGAATCGTTAGATTTAACCGGTTCTTCTTAATGAACCGGTTGAACCAGTTCACCAAATCGGACTGAATCATTTGAAACGGTTCACGTCTCCAGTAAGCGTTAATCCACAAATTACTTAAATTATTCACTTTTTTAACATGGCTGACACTCCCTCTGAGTCGAAATCAACCAATATCCCGGAGTAATTTATTTACTCAAACAGTACACTGACTGAACTGCTGTGAAGAGAGAACTGAAGATGAACACGAGCAGAGCAGCCGGATAACGAACATACAAGCCCACTGCTGGAGCGGTTCTCCTTCTCGAGTCAAGAACCGGTTGCATCGGTTTTCGGATCACCAGTACACTGAACCGAGAACCGTTTCTTTCGGACACGTCCGATTTGAGAACCGATGAGCTGATGATACTGTGCATGCGTGTAATTTTTCAAGAGGACAAAAAGCATGCTATCCAAGTATTTTGTTAAAAATCAGATAGTGTGATATAAATATATTTTATTTTACTTTTTAAAAAAAGATGAATGTATCTAATCTGTGTACTTTGTTTGTGTACAATGGTGCTTATAAATGTAGTAGTGGATCTGTACAGGATGTTATGAACGATGTAAGGCTGAAACTAACAAAAATATTAAAGTAACACTTTGGTGCCATCTTCTGGTTAAAAAAACCTATATGCCTCCCCCAATTTCTGTAAGATTACTGGCCAATCAAAAGCCAAAAGATTAAATACTGATCCATTATTGTTATTTGCTAATGCCTATCACTGATTAAACTGAATCTGAAAATTTTAGTGCAAGAAGATCACACCTTAAATAATAACGTGTGGGTAGATCACATAAAGTGCATGCAAGATACAATAACAACTGTAAACTAAATTTATTATATACATTTAAAATATATTTCTAATTTAAAGTTGACATATACACTCTTAAAAATAAAGGTGCTTCACGATGCCATAGAAGAACCTTTTTTCCTAAATGGTTCCATAGAGAACTTTTAACATCTGAAGAACCTCTATGTTTCACAAAAGGCCTTTTGTGGCGAAAGAAGGTTCTTCAGATTATAAAAAGGTAAGAAAGAGATGGTTCTTTAAAGAACCTTTGACTGAATGTTTCTTTGTGGACCCAAAAATGGTTTGTCTATGGCATCGCTGTGAAGAACCTTTTAAGCACCTTTATTTTTAAGAGTGTATTAAGTATTAACTCTATATACCACGCAACTGTGCCATTTCTTCAATCCAAATAACTTTTGTTTTGTCTTTTATTTCATTTAAAATAAAGGGGTCATATGATGCGATTTCATTTTTTCCTTTCTCTTTGGAGTGTTACAAGCTCTTGGTGCATAAAGAAGATCTGTAAAGTTGCAAAGACTAAAGTCTCAAATCCAAAGAGATATTCTTTATAAAAGTTAAGAGTCAACCACGCCTACCTAAAACAGCAGGTTCTAACACGCCCCCACATATCTACGTCACGATGTGGGAAGATTTGCATTACACCGCCCAAATGTTCAGGCAAAAAAAGAAGGCGTAACTTTGATTCTAGCTGTAGTATAGAGTGATGGAACTATGATGTCACGTTGTAGTCAAAAACCTGGAAGCGAGTTAGCATTTTAGCACTTCCGGTTCCATCGTCCCAGAGTCAATGGGTTTTTTGAATGGGATTTTGGTTAAATCCCTAAAATAAGGTGTGTGGTTCACACAGGCTCAAGATACTTTCACGTTTTGTTCTACGACATAAAACACAGCAGTTACACCCCACTCGTGATTTTTTTAACAAATGCAGACATGGTTTTATGTTTATGCAGCGCGTAAAAATATAGTATAAGTCATTATAATCCGTAATTATGTCCCCACAGGATGCAACAAATGCCTCCTTTGTAATGGGTTTTATTGGTTTTGTCTGGTTGTGGCGGGACACGGCATCACAGTATGGTAAGGGGCGTAACATTTCCGTCACACGCTTGAGGTATCCGGCCAATCACAACGCATTGGATGGCTGGCCAATCAGAGCACACCTCGCTTTTCAGACCGATGAGCTTTGTAAAAATCGACACATTTCAGAAAGGCGGGGCATAGAGGAGAAACAATAACGTACAGTATGTGGAAAATAATGTTTTTTTTTTTACCTTAAACCGCATAAACACATTTCATTACACCATATACACAAAATAATGTTTATGTTTTTAGCAACATCATATGACCCCTTTAAGTACATTATTGTAAATTAAATATTATTGTAATATTTGCTTTACATTTAGTTGATACAGCAAGGAAGTTTTCACAAGGGCCATAACTATAAGGTTTTGAGTCAAAATTCCAATTATACAAATGTGTGTAAAAAAGTGTTGTTGAGAAATGTCTTTCTCAAAAAGTGTTTCTCTGTGTTCGGTATGTTTTGAACATATTGTTCAAAAATATTTTACATAAGGATCATTTTTGTGAATTTTATCCTCCAAACTAAAATGTCAATATCACTGCATTTTTTGTGTTGTGCCACATCTGCAAATATTCAGTCAAGAGTCAACTATAGAGACCAGCATCTCAGCAATGTGAGGATCTCAAGATTGTTAAGACACCAAAAAAATATAGCCGTCAGGATAAGCATGTGTTTCAGATCAGGTGATGATTTTTTTACGATGATAATTTGCTGCAGCCTCAAACACATGATGGTACTCTTTGTGTCTTGGTATTTTCTAATTACACCAAATAGGATTAAGCACAGTATGTCCATTCATTCTGCTACATAATTCAATTTTTAACTTAAAAAAAGTGATTGGTGTGGCTTCAAATTCACTCCTCCTTCCAGGGTCACTTAGAAAATACGACCGAGCCTGACCAAAGTACTGCGCAAACGTCCTAGGAGTGCCATCATCATCCGAAGATACCAACATGAAACCTCAGAGTATACTTGTCTTGCTTGTCCTTGCCATATTAGCATTGCACTGTAAGTTTGGGCTTTTTTTGCATTTAGTGATAGAAGTGTTTAAATTGACTAACTTTTTATTTAAGACATTTGTACTTGTGTAAACCTAAAAGTGTTCAGCTTGAACAGCAGAATAACAAAACCCATGGCTAAAAATCATGGATACATGGCTCCAAATCAATTTTGGCTCATTTTACAGGATCTTTCAGTGCTAAAGCATTTAATTTCTTTCTAAGGCAAAGAGAATGCGGCTGTGTCATTTCCCTGGAGCTGTGCAAGTCTCAGTGGAGTTTGTAGACAAGGAGTGTGTCTGCCTTCAGAGCTTTACTTTGGACCCTTAGGCTGTGGCAAGGGATTCTTGTAAGTTCTGGTATATGACTAATATCATAGCAATAATCTGTCACGTCAGTTATAAACTATATTAAAATATTCTTGTATTTTTCCTTTTTTTCCAGGTGCTGTGTATCACATTTTCTTTGAGAACTGAAAATGATGTTCCTCAAAAGTCCACCATGTGAATCCAGGCTTACCTATGATAATTTTCTGTTTGTACCTTAACTCATCACATGCCTTCATATTTGATTTGGTATAATGTACATGGAGATGCCATAAGTATTAACATATTTTAAATTGTTTTGTATATTAAACTCTTTGTCCATCTAATAGCATCAGATGATCAAGGATTTCAAACCATCATGTTAAGGGGAATCATAGAGTTTATAACATGGAGGGCCTATGAACAATTGTTCATTTGACTGAATATATAACAGCACTGATGGAATAATAAAACTAATGGCTATTGTTTACCTCTCTGTGAAATTGTGATTCAAAGGCTTTTTAAACACGTTCTCAAATACAATGTGCTTGTAATATGACCTAGGAGCGTTTGTAAAAAAAAAAAAACAGTTCTGTGGTTGTCAACTATCAGCTTGAAATGAAACCAAAGGTGAAAAATCTACTTAACTGACTTATAGTGCATAGAGCACACAGGTTATAGCATTTATGTGAGCAGCTACGGTAATAAGTTATTTCAAATAACTATTTTGAGAAAAATATTTTGTTTCCAACAGACTTTTGATGAAACAAGTTTCTGAAAAAAACCCTAAGATATTTGTTTCAGTTTAAGGCACCCAAAAAGTGAAAAGTCAAACTATTTTTTTGCAACTGATCACTGAGTAGAAAGCAAGTGCCATTTTAAATAATACATTAAAACTTTACCATAACCATATTCTGCCCAAATACCTATACATAACTTCAAATAACTAATCTATATAATAATAATATTTATTAAATTATAACTTAAATTATCAAATTAATAAAAAATAATAACATAATAGTAACAACAGTTATTGTTGCTAAAAATAATTTTTTTATGGGCACCACTGTCTAGTCTAGTCTAGAAGAGAATAAAAAAAATTGCATTGTTTTACTGTAGTAACTACTAAGCTGTTAGTAAGTTACAGATATTTCAAGTTATTTATAGGAATTATGACAGGTTTCATGCCATGGTCATAAGTGTTACAAGAGCTCGTGGAATAAAAAGTGCAAGAACCTGCAAGCAACTGAAATAGTTGCAAACCTACTAACACTCTATGATCAAATACAGGCGGCATAAGCATAATACAAAGCGAATACACGTGTTGTGTTGTGCCTACCTACCTCTGCTATTCGACGCTCTAGCCCACATGACCGGAAGTAAGTACGGTTCAGCAGCAGTTCCCGCGTTTGGCGACTCTTTCAATCACAAGCGTAAACTTGGAGTAGCAGCCAGTCATTCCGGATATGGATGATCTGTATTTAGACAATATTGACGAATTTGTGAATGATCAAAATAAGATCGTAAGTCGTTCTTTATATTGATATCGTTCTTGTCATCTGTAAATGTGAAATGTCGGTTGAGGTACCAAAATGCTTACATGTGACTGCATGGTTGTCTACTGTCCCGGGTTGGGTAAGTTACGTTACCAAGACAAATACCGGTAACTTACCGAATGATTTTCATGACGTCTGATTTCCGAAAGGATGACACTTACGAGTAACGTTAGGTTCTTTTTAGCGAACGAACCACTTGCGCGATCCCATGTTGCATCTTAGTGAATTAAATCCGACTCTAAGCGAACAAAACATTCGTACTATCCTTCATGCTAGTGAGACATCAGTTTACTTACTGACTGACTGTTAGCGTGTAGTTAAAGATACACATTATGAGTTTTATAGTAATCAAATTAAAAATGTAATTTTGTAGTAATCAAACCATTATTCAGTCTATACAGAAGTGTGAGAATAGTTGTTAGCTACATTATCAACTATTCAGGATTGAACGTAAATCTGATTTTTGCAGGTCACCTACAAATGGCTCAGTTTAACTCTTGGAGTCCATGTCAACACGGCAAAACAGTAAGTCCTGCCCTTTTTATTGACACCACTTTTAATATTTCCAAGAATTTGATCTGTTGGAATCACTAATGTTCATGTAACAATTTTGCAGAATGTTGTATCATTACCTGCAGCAGAAACGCAATGAAAGTTCAGGGACTCCACTTCATGCCACCTATCTTGTATCTGGGAAATGTGTTGAGAATGGTAGTACGGTAAGGATTGAGATCTAATAATTGGTTAACCTTTGTGAAATTAATCCTGAACAGTGTTGGGCTAGTTACTCAAAGAATTTAATATATTACTCATTACTAGTTACTCCTTTCAAAAGTAATATTAAAAAGTAATATATTACTGTAACAGTAATTAGTTACATTACTTTTTCTTCACACCCCACAGAAGTTGTAACTGTGTATCTTCCACATAAAATTGTTCGAGAATGTTACTAACAACATATTTCTGCCTCATCATTTGACCAAAATCCACATTGGATTGCAGTCAGAAGTTATTACAAACACTCAATAGTGATTGATAGTGACATTCAAGTAGAAGTGTTGTATTAATCTCATTAATTGTCATGTGTAGCTTGAAGCTTTCATTATGTATTTTATCAGATCACATAAGTTTGTAAGAAACTGCCAAAAAGATTTTTTAATTATATAATGTAACACATGCTGATCAGAGGGATGTGGGTGGGATGTAATGGCAGAGTAAAGTAAAGCCACAACTTACACAACAGTGTTCAGATCATCTTTTTTTCCTGACAAAACCAATATAATGCTGCTGCATGTAAGCTTTTCCATATTCCAAGCTTGCCTGCTGCACTGGGGACATCACATGCATGTGCGAGTCGTGAAAATTATGTAAATAAATCTAGGAATTGTTAGATTTTAAATCAGCGGGGTTGAGGCATCAATAGTAACTAAGTAACTAGGCTGTTTTATGGATGGTAACTGTAATATTATTACTGAAATCTTATTAGTAATTAGTTACACTACTAGTTACTGCAAAAAGTTAGTTACTAGTAACTAGTTACTGCCCAACACTGATCCTGAATAATCATTATTTTAAGATCTTCAGTTGAATGTTTTCCATTGCTTTTAGTGCCATAAAGTGTCAGTAGTACGTGAGGACAAGCTTGATGGTAAGATTACCATATTTCTATCTGTAAATTACAACAAATAGCCTTAATCTTGGGAACAAAATGCAATAATCCTGGGCTAAAAAATGTTAGACTTCTCTGATCTCATAGGTGATATTATATTTATAAATCTAATCTATATAATCTTTAATATATTATATATATATATATATTTGAATTTATTATGTTATATTGCCATTTTGGGTAATTTTAATTTAGATTTAATTTATAATTTATATTTATTCATTTAAAAAAAAAAATATATATATATTTATTTCATGTGATTTTCATTTTTAAGTATTCAGTAGAGTTAATTTTTTTCTTAACAGCTGTTAAAGCAAAGATGGATGTGACCATCAGTGTGCATGTGTACAGTGTGCAGAGAGCTGAGCTGAAGGATAGTTCACCACTTTACAATACAGATTATGAAGCTGTTAAGGAGAACCTAAAAAACTGCAACAAGTAAGTGATACTCGTATAACCTGTAATGCATCATGTGCATGCATCATATGCTGAAGTTGTGACACATCCAATATTTCTGGTCTTTCCTCAGGTACAGCGCTATACGTTGTGCTGCGGCGGTCCCAATGTCATCTGCTGGGCTGCAGAGAGCTCAAGAGATGGCTTTGGTCCCTCCAGAGGAGAAGGAAATCAGTAAACCTGGCTTGAATGAAAACACTTCAGCTACCTCCAAATCCAGTGCTAAGCAGCCAGCGGGTATCATGGGAATGTTTGCCAGCAAAAATGCTTCTAAGAGCCAAGAATCCAGCAAGGAAGTGAAAACAGAACAGAAAGATGATTCTTCCCTGGTAAGGGTGTAACTATAGTTTAATGTTGATGGCACACAAGATTGTGTGTGAAATTTAGAATGGTTTCATATGATGTAGGTTGAAACATCAAAAAGCAAAACAGCCTCCAAAGCGAATCCGATGAGTAACTTCTTTGGGAAGTCTGCCCAAAGTGAGTGTTCTGTCTTTTCTGCCAAAAAAAATAAAAACAAAGCATAACATACAGTAACCAAACAAAACATTTTCCTGTGAAATTTAGAAAAGGCTGATGAAAAACCCAACAAAAGCATTAAGGAAGAGACGGATGGCAGCTCAACAGCTACTGCAATTATGAAACAGTCACAGACGTCTCCCAAATCCAAGATTGACATTAAAGATGAACAATCCAAAGTGTCCAGTGCTTTGAAGGTTGAATCAAAAGACACTCGGAAGTAAGGTTTATTTATTTTTCAAAGAAATGTTGTAAAAAAATATAATGTGAATAATGTTATATTTTATGTGTAAAGTTCTTTAATTTATTTATTCTAATTTATTTATTTTAATATATGTATATATATAAAAAAAAGGCAGATTTGAATCAGTCTAGATGAGGCGCTTTGAGACTCAAGATGAAGAAAAACAAAGAAATAGGTTCCCCCTCTGGGCAGAGTGCTGAATAAAATATCAGAATTGCTCTCTGACAAACAAAAGCTAATTGATAACATTCATTGTGTTTCTTCCCTTATTCTCTCTCTTTTCCTTCTCTCTGTCTATATATAAATACATAGACTTTTATACATGATATATGTCTCTTCTACCCTCTTCCAGTTGTGCCAGATTCTCCACCTGTTCCAAATGTACAGACTCCCAGCCCTAAAAAACAAGTGAAGAGAGAACCTGTTTCACACCAAGAAGTAAGCATTACCAACAACACCAATAATTACAAGCTTTTTTAGAAACAGGATTTCCAAACACTTTTACCCCAAACTCGACCTGCCAAAATGCCAGGCTACTCAATCCAACATACATGTCACATTAAATTACACACACCTCATTTGTATTTTCCATACAGTAATATTGTCATTGATTATGTTCTTGACTCGCTTAGGAGATCTCAGAGGTGAAGAGGAGGAAAAGGAGGCGTGTTTTGAAGTCTCACACATTTGTTGATGAAGAAGGTTCCTTTGGTAAGTATAATTTTAGTCGACATTTTCAATGGTTTTAATTAATAGTTGATTTATGGCCGATGCCGATATCTTAAGACAGCGGGGTGGCTGATGGCTTATATATATATATATATATATATATATATATATATATATATATATATATATACTGTATATATATTAGTGCTGTCTATCTATA